AGCTCCCCTGTGAAAGAAGTGAGTGGGAAGTAACATTTTTTTCTATTCAGCAAGTGAAATTAGTATGGCAGGACAGAGGGATGAACTTGAGTTAATGGTGGATGGAGTCTTTGGTAGAGTTCAGAATAAAATCCAGATTTCCTTGTTAGCAATGACTTCTTAATGCTGGAATATGCCACCTCAAAGAGTACGCGCGAGTAGTGAATCCTTTTGGTAAGTGTGTCATTTTTATTGGTTTCCAGTGTTACAAACAAAATATGTAATGCTGTACGTGAGCCAGAATCTCATTAATGATGAACTTGTCTTATTTTCCAGCTAACTGTAAGGTTTGCTTTGTGGCCCTTCTCCAGTCCTTCAGTCACTATAATATTGTAGGTCAAAAGCTGGTGAGTATTTTCAGGTGTGAGTGTGTGTGTGTGTGTGTGTGTACACACCTGCATGAGGGGAGGGAGGAAGACAGGGACAGAAAGAGAGAGAGAGAAAGAGAGTAGGGGAGGGGAGAGGAAGAGGAGGAAAGGGGAGAGGAGGGAGATATTGCCCTTTGGGAATTTGTCATCCAGTTGAGGATGTAGACATAAAACAAACCCTAATAATAAAGGCAGCGTATTCAGATGGCTCAGTGGACATGTAATTGCATTGAGGTGGATGTTTCCTCTGGTGGTACAGTTTATAACCTCATCCCGTATAGTTTTTGTCCATGTTCTTCACATATCTTACTTAATTCATGGGAAAGAGTAGACATAAACATGGCGGCTTGTGCTAAAAACCACATGAGTGTGTAGACTGGAAGCATCATAGGGGTTGAGTGGTAAGAGAGAACACTAGGGGTTGAGGCAGTTGGAAGAGGTTTCACAGAGGAGGTGGGAGTCAGGGCAAGCTTTGAAAAGAAGTTTCAATTTGAGACAGTGTTGAGGAAAGGGCAGGATATTCTGTTTTGGGCAAATGGCCTGAGCACAGGTCCAGAAGTGGGAATGTGCATGATGGATTTGTTCATGTAAGGGACCAATGGGAGAGAAGGTTGGGGAGACCCCAAAATGTTAGCCTAGCCTGAATGCTAGGCTAGAGAATTCGGACTTTATTTGGTAGGCAATGGGGAGCCATTGAATGGTTACATATCAGTCCATTCTTTAGAGAAATTCTAAAGAGCTAGGCTTTTTGCATAATTTTATTTAATTGTGATACAGGCCCCCTAGTAATATGTAGAATTCATTTAAACCAGTATTGTTAATTTAAAAAATTATAAGGATGAGATTTGGGATTTGACCTTTCATAGTAACAGCACACAGTTCTGGAATGTCTCTGACTTGGCGCTCATGGACCCCGGGAACCAGTACAGGCATTATTATTGTTCTGACTTTACCCAGGAGGAAACATCCTTAGGAGTGCAGGACAGGATCCTCTAGGCAGTCCAGCTGCCATCACACCTGAAAGTGAGCCTGGTGCATAGGGTTCTGGACTGACCAGAGCTGCTTCTGCCTAGGAATAGAAAGGGTGGGAGGGGAGAGGTAGTGAATGAGGAGATGTGGAAAGACCTTTGTTATTGATGTTGCTTTTTTGAGCTGTGAATAGTGTGAGGAGCCTGGGGTTGCTTCACTGGTTGAGAAATAGAGTATTTGGCTTAGGGCATGGGAAAACTTGGTGATTTCATTCAACAAACTTTTGCTAAGTGCCAGGCATGGAGGTAGGTGTTGGGGATGCAAATTCAAGAGTGAGACAGTTTCTGCCCTCCAGGAGCTTATGTTCAACAAGGGAGATATAACATCTTACAGACAAGAAAATATAGTGCATGCACGCACACACACACACACACACACACGTGTAGAAAGGGCCTCTTGGAGGATATAGCACATGAGCTGAGCCTTGGAAGTGAGGTAGGAGTGAGAGGGAAGAGCACTCTAGGCCTAGGGAAAAGCCCTTGGAACAACCCCAAGAGGGAAGGTATCTTTTCCTACCTGTGAGACGTTGGGCTAGATACTTGCTCTCTCTGGGTTTCAGTGTTCACTTATGTAAAATGTTGGACTTTGATCTCTCAGTCCATGAACGTTGACTTAATTATCAGAGGGGGGCCAGATAGTGTGCTTAGGGACTATGGAATGGGAGTGTATGATGAAAAAATGAGGTTTCTGTGAGAAGTTGGGTATAAAATGCAAAGTAAAATTGCATCATAGACTGACAGGATCGTTTATTTATTGGCATGTTTAGTCATTCAGCCACAACTTCCTGTTGTACAACATTCTCCATTTCCAAATCACCTTCTATTCCTCCACTAATATTCTCAAATCAGCAAGAAAACAATATGTAAGATAGAGATATAGACCCCGCTGAGGTACAGGATAAGCTTACCCCCTCCTATTCTAGAGGCTCTTTTGAGACGGTATTCCCCAAGTGCTTTAGAATACTGATAAAAGTCACTCTGTGAGTAGCCATCAATTTCAGGACCGTTTGTATGGATGATCCCCAAGTATCCCCGCTATGGTGGTGATATGGCAATGGGAAATCATTTCATTGTCATCAGTGTTATAGGGTAAGAGATATGGAGAGTATTCTGGCTTTGAGGAGACTTCTTGAGGGGAAGGACCAGGACTTGTCTCATCCTGTACTTTTTTTTTTCACCCTATACTTTTTTATTATAATAGGGAGTCAATCTGATCGCAGCCCGAGATCGGGGACAGCTGGTATTCCTTGAAGGCCTGAAGTCCACTGTTGAAGTCCTCTTTGGGTCAGAGGAACAATCAAACACCCTCAAGTTTATCAGGTTAATGATCTTCAACTGAACCCTAACATGGAAATTCTTAGCATCTGGGTGTGGATTGTTGCTAAGTTCTTCTTTGCCTGGGGTGTGGACTTCCTGGCACTGGCTGCTGCTGTCACTGCTGTTCTACTGCCTTCTCCACTCAAGTGATAGTGACATCTTATTGTTCATTGAAACCTGATTTCACCTGGAGAAACCTGTCCTGATAAGAATTGTGATGGGGGTACCCCATTGTGATTTGACCTATGCTACAATCCCTTAGGCATGTTACTTCCTTTAGGGAAAGCTTCCACACTTTTCATTCAGTTTGACTGGATCATATAGCACCTAAATCAGTAGATCCATCAGCAAATTTTTATCAAGTGCTAAGTCTGAGTCAGGCACTGTGCTGCTGAAATGGATACAAAGAAAAAGAGAAAGAAAGATGAGGAAACTGAAAGAAGCCCAGAAATGAGCACAGACAAGCAGGTTAGCTTTGAAAACTACAGACTGAACTTGTTATCTATTCAAATAGTAGAACAAGCTGAAAATGATAGAGATCTACAGATAATGCTTGTTGACTCCGTGAATATGGAAATGCTTGTTTTATTGGTGTTGAGTTCAGAACACAAATAAAATTTTCAAAAATGAAAGATGTTTAGGTCTGTCCTTAAGGAGCTTACATTCTGATGGGAGAGGTAACATGTCATAAATAGGCACATAAAAATGAATATAAATGGAATGGAAGAGGAAAGGCTGTAGCAGGTGAAGCAGAGAAGAGTGAAACAAGGCTGGCAAGTTAGTTGAAGTCTGATTGTGGGAGACCTGTTCCCTTAAGGGAGTTATGGGGAACCATTGGAGGTCTTTGAGTGGGGCAGTGAAATAATCAAACTATTTTATCTAGAATTTATGACAGGGAAGACTGGAAGAGTCCTGGACTGGTTTGGGGAATGGTGAGTGGGTCAGTTTGGCTAGGATGTGACATTATGTGAACAGGAACAAGTCCTTCTACCAACTGTACCACATTACCTTTTGTATAGCTGGGCAAGGCACTTCCCCGCTGGCCACTTCCCTTTCTTTATCCTTGGGTACTTTCTTCTACTCCTCCCAAACTCCTTGTGGGGTTGCCTCAAGGTGTGTGAAGTCACTGGACGCTCTCAAACCTAGAATATACTGATTACAACTTTGTCCTTTGAGCCCAGACACCCAGTGGAGCCATTTTACATCCACTGACTGTTGGACCTACCTGGGCTAAATATCATAGTCAGTGAGAGAACTGGGCAGTTTGTTTCTTTTGTCTCTGGGTTAGTGGATTATGTTCTTTCCAAAGGATTTTCACAAAATTTTTGTGTGTCTTAATGAAGAGGACATCAGAAGACCTACTGTCACTTTGCTTTTTCTTTAGAAGCCAATATCTTTATTGAGTGAATGAATGAAAGTTTCCACCAGCTAATTCTCTGGCCTTTTTAATTTTGCATACTCCAGACTCCTAACAGTTTGGCCTTTGTAGATAGCATTCTCATTGTTCTAAATAAAGACCAAGGAGCAGAGGATAGGGGTTTGTTTCTTATGGTCACTGATGTTGTAGTGTAACCGAAGCCCCACAGGACTTTGGGTCAGGTGGCTTTGGATCAAGCCTTATCTCTGCAGTTTAGTAACCATGTCACTAGGAACAAGTCCTTTTACCTCTCTGGGCCCCAGTTTCCTCATTTTTAATTTTGGGAAAATACCCTAGGTAGAACAGGGTCATAGAAAGAGCAGTGACTTTGGAGTAGGACTTGGGTTTAAATCCTGACTACCCATGGCTGGGGGTGGGGGAGCCTTGGGCAAATCTCTTTCCCTTCTTAGGTCTTGGTTGCCTCATCTGTAAAACAGAGAGGTTGAATGAGATGGTCTCTGTGGTCTCTTCAGCTCTGAATCTGGTAACCACTGATTCTTGCCCATCGTCACTCAGTGAATTAGGATTAGAAGTTCCTGAGCTCTCATCTGCTTGTTCAAATCTATGTGTATTCCTGTAGAATGATACAGACCTTCATCTCTAGGCTGGCTTTTGGATGGTATTCTGGTTGCATTTAAATTGGGCTTGGGGATAATAACTTGCCATTTAAAGCCTATTCCAGTCCCCCCACCTCCCACCTCTGGAAGCTTCACCCAACCACTTCAACTCTCAGGGAACCAGACCTTTTAGAAACTCAGCATACTTGCCTTACACATAACGCTGCCTCAACACTTATCCGTACTCTGCCTCAGGGCTTCTCTTGGTTACCATCTGTTCTTAATTCTTGTGTTATTATTTAGTTTTTCTGATGTGTTCTGTACCACATCTAACCACAGACGTCTGAAGGAAGAAGCTCTAACCACCCCCCCCCAATTATGTCTAGCAAAGAGTAGGTGCTCAAGGACACTGGTTGAATGGATGAATAAACTGATTTACAGGGTGTTGTTTTTGGGGGGGGGGTTTTGGTTCCTTGTCTCCAGAGAGTCTGGCTCTGACCTGAAGTCCTTGTATGAGTTGGTGCAGAAAGCTCTGACTCCCTCAGCTGATGGTGATGCTGCTTCGTGGAAGTTTCCGGTGATTTTGGTGGATGACCTCAGTGTCCTGCTCAGTTTGGGTGTTCAAGCAGTTGCTGTTCTGGACTTCATCCAGTACTGTAGAGTCACTGTCTGCTGCCGTTTGAAGGTACCGTTCAGTCTTCATACTTTTATTTCCTGTGATCTTTAAGACCTGAAAGTAGGAGAGGAAGCTGGCCCCTCTCTAGGTCAGTGGCTCTTTATCCTTTCCAGCCTTTGGCCTGCTCTGATAGGACCAAAGATCCTTCAGGAACCATCTTTGCTCCTACACCTGCCCCTCCTCCAGATTTCCCAATTTCTGTTGAAATGTTTTATCACCCAATTCCCAGGTTCACAACCTCAGAGGCACCCTTTCCTCTTCCCTCCCACTCATCCCTCAGAGCCAGTCAGTTGTCAGATCTTATCCATTTTGCCTCTAGAAGACCTCATCTAGGTAACTTCTGTTTTCTTCACTCCTAGAGCTGAACTCAAATAGTTCAGGTCTGTATCATCTCTTACTCCAAGTCCTGCACTATCCCTTCAGGGAACTGACCTCCTGCTTCTAGATCTTCTTGCTCAGAGCTCGACTCCCCAGGCAGCTCCTGGAACAGTCCCTCTTCTGCTCTTTCATTGGCTTCCAGAATAATAGAAAAAATTCTTGAGCCTGGCACTGAAAGCCCTGTACAGTCTGGCATTGGCTTACCTTTCAAAACTGCTAGCTCTGTTCAAGAAATGTTTTATTGATGCTTTTAAATGTCTCTCTATTTCAGCCCTGCCCCCCTTCCCCCCCAATTAAGGCCACCCTTATGCAAAGAAAACCAGTTGAAGAGTGTCTGCAGTAGTCTGGTCTTGTCATCCCCTCCCTCTGCCATGATGGGGGAAGTATAATTCATTATTTGTTCTCTGGGACTTTCCTGCCTTATTTCACAATATTCCCCTTTACATATTTCATGTTCTAGCCAAACTGGCCTGTTTTTTCCCCCCAAATTTGACATCCCATCTCCTTTCTCAGTGCCTTTACACAGACTTATTCCCCACTTTTAAAAAAATTATTTAATTAATTTTTGTTGCATTTTGTTGTCTGCCTTCCTCCCTCCCAACCCCACATTAGAGAAGGCCAGCATTTGATCCAGGTATGTGTGTGTGTGTGTGTACACATATACAATACATACTTCCATATATCAGTTCTTTCTTTGGAGGTGGATAGCATTTTCCTTCAGAAGTTCTTTGTAGTTGATTTGAATGATCATATTACTCAGAACAGCTGAAGTCCTTCACAGCTGCTATTCAAACAGTATTGCTGTTATTGTATACAGTGTTCTTTTGGTTCTCTTTGCATTATTTCATGCAAGTCTTCCTGTGTCTTTCTAAAACCAACCTGTTTGTCATTTCTCACAACACAGTAGTATCCCACCACAATCATGTACCACAACTTATTCAGCCATTCCTCAGTTAATGGGTATCTCTCACTTTCTAGTTCTTTGCCACCACAAAGAAAACTGCTATAAATATTTCAGAACATATAGGTTCTTTTCCTTTTTCCCTATCACCTTGAGAAACAGACCTAATAGTGGTTTTGCTGGGACAAAGGATATACACAGTTTTATAACTCTTTGGACGTAATTGCAAATTGCTCTCCAGAATGATTGGATCAGTTCACGATTCCACCATTGTATTAGTGACCAATTCCAACAGTATTAGTATTCCAATTTTTCTATATTCCCCTTCAACATGTCATTTTCCCCTTTTATCATTTTAGCCAGTCTGATAGGTATGAGATGGTACCTCAGAGTTGTTTTAATTTGCATTTCTCTAATCAATAATGATTTAGAGGTTTTTTTCATATGACTGTATCTAGCTTTGATTTCTTCTTCCAAAAACTACCTGTTCATATCCTTTGACCATTTATCAATTAGGGAATGACTCATATTCTTATATATTTGACTGAGGTTTCTATATAAAATATAAGGCCTTTACTTGAGAAACTGGCTACAAAATTTTTTCCCCAGTTTCTGCTTTCCTTCTAATCTTTGCTACATTGGTTTTATTTGTACAAAACCTTTTTAATTTATTGTAATCAGAATTATTCATTTTACTTCCCACAGTGTTCTCTATCTCTTATGTGTTCATTATCGCCCACTTATGTATTGAAGTCACAGAGTATTGAAGATGTTGATTTAATTTGGAGGCTTTTACTGAGTTCTTGGAATTTTTTTATCTCCTTATCTTCTCTAGCAGATGTCAGTGCATAAGTAGCTCTGGTTATTTTCAGCACAGTCCTTTTGCAGATACCAGTTGTGAGTCTTACAATATAAGATTGCCAAGTATCCCATGAAATTTTTGATGTTGCCTTTGATCCATAAGGTCCACTCTGCCAACTCCTTGACTTGTCTCTTCAAGGAGAACCTGTGAAACCAACTTTTCGGTTTAGCTTGAGCTTCCTTTGGTGTTCTGGTTCCATTTTTGTAAGAATATCAAGATTAACTTGATTCCATTCCTCTTGGAATGGAATGTCTCCTCACTGGACATTGGACAGAGATCTTACATTTGAGGTAACAGTAGCAAAATTAATGGTTTTTAGTTGATCTAAAAATTGTGTAATTCTTAGTACTCTCTGATCCCCTTTATGCTTTTCTGTTACCATCAATTTAGAAGAGGAAGAAGGGCAGCACAGGACTGAGGGACATATTGTATTTTGTGGTTGTTGTTTCATGGGTTGTCAGTAAACTGAATTATAGACTTACTTATAAATCTCCACTGAAGGCCATTCTAGATCCCTCTTTATGCCACAGAGGTGACTGAGTCTTCAAAGGCTAAGCTAATGGCATGCAAATTCTCATAGAACCTACCACAGTGATGTGTCCAGTGATGCATTGTGAGCCTTATCTGAGGACTAGCCTAGCCCCATGTGAAGAGCCATGTCATCAGAAGGTTGGCTATCAAGTAGTGCATTTTTTCCTGCCATAGTCACTCATGAAAACTGTTGTCTACTCAAGTGTAGAGGCAGTTTTGATCTGCATCAGTAAGTGGGGAACCCACTTTAATGAAACCACAGGTGCTTGGTATAATAAAGTAATACTTTAAAAGACTGACCAACTGGCAGCTCACCCAGAGTTAGACATCCCCCGAGTGCCAGCTGAAGAGGCCAGTGGTGGAAAGAAGGGGGAAAGGTTAAGTACAGTCTCTTCTGCGCCACATGGAGTAAAATTTCTCTTCTCTGTGAGTGTAAGTTAACATTGAGAGCCACAGGGAGCTGCTTATTTTTGTACCTCACTAGGTTGGGTTTGGAAAGTGTAAGATAGCATTATACCAGGCAGTTCTCAGCATCACTTGATAGTCTGTGACACAGCAGAGAGTCCTTTGCCCCTGGAAGTTTTCTTTTCTTTTTTTCTTTTTAATTAATCTATTTTGTTTTATCAACAATCACTTCCATATGCTTTTGCATTTAAAATTTTTCTCCCCCTCCCTCCCCACCATCCTCCCCAAGATGGTGCACAGTCTGATATAGGCTATACATATATATTCCTATTAAACATATTTTCACATTAGTGGTGTTGTAGGTAAGAATTAGAACCAATAGGAGAAACCACCAGAAAGAGGAAACAAAACTCAACAGAAGAAAAAAAATAGCAAATAGTATTCTTCAATCTGCATTCACATTCCATAGTTCTTTCTTTGGATGTGGATAGCATTTTCCATCACGAGGCCTTTGGAGATGTCTTAGATCCTTGTATTGCTGAGAAGGGTTAAGTTTATCAATATTAGTCATCGCACAATGTGGCTGTTATCATGTACAGCGTTCTCCTGGTTCTGCTCACTTCCCTCAGCATCAGACCATACGAGTCTTTCCAGGTTTTTCTGAAATCTACATGTTCGTCATTTTTTTTCTTTATTTTTTAGTTTTATTTTATGAGGCAATTGGGGTTAAGTGACTTGCCCAGGGTCACACAGCTAGTATCACGTGTCTGGTCTGAGATCAGATTTGAACTCAGGTCCTCCTGACTTCAGGGCCAGTGCTTCATCCACTGCGCCACTTAGCTGCCCCCATCATTTCTTAACAGCACAATAGTATTCCATTACATTCATATACCACAACGTGTTCAGCCATTTCCCTATTGATGGGCATCCTCTCAATTTCCAATTCTTTGGTGCCACAGAAAGAGCAGCTATGAATATTTTTGTACATGTGGGTCTTTTTCCCATTTGTTTGATCTCTTTGGGATATAGCCCTAGAAGTGCTATTGCTGGATCAAAAGGTATGCACATTTTTATAGCCCTTTGGGCATAGTTCCAAATTGTTCTCCAAAATGGTTGGATCATTTCACAACTCCACCAACAATGTATTAGCGTTCCAATTTTCCCACATCCTCTCCAACATTTATCATTTTCCTGTTTTGTCATGTTGGCCAATCTGATAGGTGTGATATGGTACCTCAGAGTTGTTTTTATTTGCATTTCTCTAATCAATAGTGATTTAGAGCATTTTTTCATATGACTATAGATGGCTTTAATTTCTTCATCTGAGAACTGTCTGTTCATATCCTTTGACCATTTATCAATGTGGGAATGACTTGTATTCTTATAAATTTGACTTAATTCTGTATATATTTTAGAAATGAGGCCCTTATCAGAGAGACTGGTTGTAAAAATTCTTTCCCAGTTTTCTACTTTCCTTCTAATCTTGGTTGCATTGGCTTTGTTTGTGCAAAAACTTTTCAATTTAATGTAATCAAAGCCATCCATTTTGCTTTTTATAATATTCTCTATCTCCTGTTTGGTCATGAATTCTTCTGTTCTCCATAAATCTGACAGGTAAACTATTCCTTGCTCTCCCAGTCTGCTTACAGTATTAGCCTTTATATCTAAATCATGAACCCATTTTTACTTTATTTTGGTATATGGTGTGAGATTTTGTTCTATGTCTAGTTTGTGCCATATTCTTTTCCAGTTTTCCTAGCGGTTTTTGTCAAAGAGTGGGTTCTTATCACAGAAGCTGGGGTCTTTGAGTTTATCAAATAATAGATTATTATAGTCGTTGACTACTGTGTCTTGCATACTTAACCTATTCCACTGATCCACCACTCTGTTTCTTAGCCAGTACCAAGCAGTTTTAATGACTGCTGCTTTATAATACAATTTAAGATCTGGAATGGCTAGGCCACCTTCCCCTGCATTTCTTTTCATTAGTTCCCTTGATATTCTGGACCTTTTGTTCTTCCAAATGAATCTTGTTATTAATTTTTCTAACTCTATAAAATAGGCAATTCTTGGGGGAAGTTTTATGTCTCTAAATGCTTACATAAATAAAATAGAAAAAGAGGAGATCAATGAATTGGGCATACAACTAAACGAACAAGAAAAAGAACAAATTAAAAACCCTCAATTAAATACCAAATTAGAAATATTGAAAACCAAAGGAAAAATTAATAAAATTGAAATTAGAAAACTATTGAACTAATAAATAAAACTAAGAGCTTTGAACTAATAAATGAAACTAAGAGCTGGTTTTATGAAAAAACCAATGAAATAGATAAACCTTTGGTTAATTTAATTTAAAAAAAAGAGAAGAAAACCAAATTACTAGTATCAAGAATGAAAAGGGTGAATCTGCCACCAAGGAAGAGTGGATGCCTGCGTCCACTACCATGGTTAATCTCCGGTGAGGCGAAAAAGAAAGAAAGAGAGGAAGAAAGAGAGAGAGAGAAAGAAATCATGCAGACCAGGGGGTAGCAAGTTATGAACAAGCTCTATTTATTGATCTGAGAGTTAAGACTTTTATACCCCACTCATGAGAACAGCACCCAGAGTGGAAAAGGCAGAAGTATCAACAATAATTTTTCTCATGGGAACGGTAACTGGGGGGAGTTCCCCTGGAGTCGTCTCCTCACTTCCCAGTTATCTTTCAATGTCCTTCTGTTCTCAAGGGAAAAAGCAGTGCAGGGGAGGGGTCGGAGAGCCTACTTTCTGACTTAGGTGGCTCTTAGATTTTAGAACAGGCTGGATGTAAATCCCGGCCTGGCCTATATCCTCAAACCCATCAGTGCAAGCCCTCAACAGAAGAGGAAATTAAAACAACAATTAGGAACTATTTTGCCCAACTGTATGCCAATAAATTTGACAATCTTAGTGAAATGGATACATATTTACAAAAATATAAATTGCCCGGATTAACCGAAGAGGAAGTAAAATACTTAAATAACCCCATCTCAGAAAAAAGAAATTGAACAAGCCATTGATGAACTCCCTAGGAAAAAATCTCCAGGGCCAGATGGATTTACATATGAATTCTATCAAACATTTAAAGAAGAATTAATTCCAATACTATATAGACTATTTGGGAAAATAGGTGAAGGAGTCTTACCAAATTCTTTTTATGATACAAATATAGTGCTGATACCTAAACCAGGAAGAGTCAAAACAGAAAAAAAATTATAGACCAATTTTTCTAATGAATATAGATGCAAAAATCTTAAATAAAATGTTAGCAAATAGATTACAGCCACTTATCACAAGAATGACCAGGTAGGATTTATATCAGGAATGCAGGGCTGGTTCAATATTAGGAAAACTATCAGCATAATTGAGCATATCAACACCAAAACTAACAGAAAGCACATGATCATCTCAATAGATGCAGAAAAAGCTTTTGACAAAATACAACACTCATTCCTATTAAAAACACTAGAGAGCATAGGAATAAATGGAGTCTTCCTTAAAATAATAAATAGCATCTACCTAAAACCTTCAGCAAGCATCATATGTAATGGGGACAAGCTAGAAGCATTTCCAGTAAGATCAGGGTGAAACAAGGATGTCCGTTATCACCACTGTTGTTCAATATCATACTGGAAATGTTAGCTTTAGCAATAAGAGAAGAAAAAGAAATTGAAGGTATTAGAATGGGCAAAGGAGAAACAAAGCTATCACCCTTTGCAGATGACATAATGATATACTTAGAGAATCCTAGAGAATCAAGTAAAAAACTACTTGAAATAATAAACAACTTTAGCAAAGTTGCAGGCTATCAAATAAACCCACATAAATCATCGGCATTTCTATATATTACCAACAAAGCCCAACAGCAAGAGATAGAAAGAGAAATTCCATTTAAACTTACTGTAGACATAAAATATTTAGGAGTCTGTCTCCTGAAACAAACCCAGGAACTATATGAACACAATTACAAGACATTTTTCACACAAATAAAGTAAGGTCTAAATAATTGGAAAAACATCAGTTGCTCATGGGTAGGCCAAGCTTATATAATAAAAATGACAGTTCTAACTAAGCTAATTTACTTATTCAGTGCCATACCAATCAAACTACCAAAAATTATTGTATAGAGCCCTTGGAAGTTTTCAAGCAGAGATGGTGACCATCCATAAGGATATTGTAAGAAGGGTGCCTCTATTGGGGCTGAGTTTAGAATAGATGCTGCCAAAGAGTACTTCCAATGGTAAGAATCTAGAATTCCATAAAACTCAAATCAAGGTCAGGAAAAAGCAAAAGAAACTTTAAGGTCTGTTTCTTATTTGTTGCTCTTTTTTGAGGAGAACTTGAGAAATGATAGATTTAAATCAATAAAAATGTATTGAGTCTCTTCGTACAGTGTACAAAACCTTTTGGGATACAAAGCCATATAAGTTGGTAACCCTTCCTTTCTAGGAGCTTTCAGTAAAGTTGCAAAGACAAGACAAATGTGAAATATGATAACTAATAATATAATATTTCAGTAACTCAAGCTAAGAATAGAAGAGGTATCACAAAGTAATAGATGATTAGTTGATAAAAACAGTAAGCGCTCTGGGAGTTGAAGAGAAGGCTCACTACAGGCTGTGGTAATTAGAGAAGGCTCTACATTCGAGGTGTAATTTGAGCTGGGTTTTCAAGGAAGGATAGAATTTTAAGAGGAAACAACAAAAGGAAGAGCAGTCTGGAGGGAGGTAATCACATGGGCAAAGCCCTAGGAGCCGGAAAGTACAAAGTATATTCAGTGGACAGTAAGTAAAGCAGGTTCCCTAAATAGAGGTTTTGTGGAGGAGGCCGGTGATGGAAAAGAAGATTGAAAAAAGATCAAGACCAGGCTTTGGGAGATCCTGAGGTCAGGCTAAGATGTTGGGGTTCATAGAGATTGGATGAGGTAAATGAAATAGTCAGAAAGGTATTTTAAGAAGATTAATCTGATGGTTGGAAGCAGGATGAATTAGGGAGGGGAGGGACCAGAGGCAGAGAAACTGAGTTGGAGTCTATAACAGAAGCAGTCGTGACTTCAGCTAATAAGGATCGGAATTACAGTAATAGTAGTGAGAGTGGAAAACAAGGGGCGAATGAAAAAGATATTTTGAAGGACTTGGCAATAAAGTAGATAAACCAGCAACAGTCTCCTAATTGGTCTTCTTGCCTCAGCTCTTTCACCACTCCAATCGATCCTACACATAGCTGCCAAAGTAATTTCCCTTATGCACAGATCTGACCATGTGACTGCCCTACTCTACCAGCTCCAGAGGCTTCCTGTTACATTAAGGGTAAAAGATTAACCCCTCTGTTTAGCGTTTAAAGCCCTTTACAACCTGCCACAGCCTCTGTTTCCAGCAGTCGAGCCAAACCAGCCTTTTCTCTTATAACTAAGAACTGTTTTTCTTTGGATGGTTTAATAGTGCTTGGATCTCTTTGATCTAGGGAAACGTGGTGGCTTTGGTGCATGACAGTGATAGGACAGAGGATGAGGAGAAGGCAGTGCTGATGAATGCTCTCGCTCACCAAAGCAGCTTGATCCTCCGGGCTGAGGGGTTGGCAACTGGATTCTGCAAAGATGTTCATGGGCAGGTAATGTGGGCATTGCCTGGGTAATGGTGGGTAGTTAATGGCTTCTAATGAAGATCTGTTTTCCAGGGTGTTTGTGTGTTGGTATTAGGCCCGTTCCTTCAGGTAGGAGGACCACAGACTACAGCTGAATAAAATACTGGTACATATACCAAATATGGCTCTCCAGAGGTCAAATCACCATGCTAAGACACTGAATTGATAATATGAGGGTTGAGTTTCAAAGTAGTCCCTTTGAGAGGCTATACTTGTTATAATTCAGAATGTGTTTAATTTCAGTTATTTTTCTGAATTTCAGAAATTCAGTTACTAGAATTTTCTTCAGACCATTCTTTTGAAGAACCTCAGTGGTGGGTGATCTCCATCCTTTGAGGATATAGCTTTCATTTTTAGAAATGGTCAAAAGTCATTTGTAGTCAAATCTGGTGAATAAAGTGGATGATCAAGCTGGTAATGGTGTGACTGTATAGTAATGAGACTGATGTTATTATGTGGCTCCTTGGAGCACAGATAGAGAGAAGGGACCGCAGAGACCATCTAGTCCAGGGGAAGAAAATGCAGGGCCACCCTGGCACTACATGGGGAACTGGGCTTCCAAGCCAGCACTCTTTTCTACTGCAGCACACTCCTTCCCTTATAGTGGCATTGCTGAGATAAATGTGCTGAAGAAAACATACCTGGCAGTATATAAAATCTGAGCATGCTTGTTTAGAGAAGTTAGTTGCCTTTGGTTGAAGCTGTATGGGAAAAGTTATTTGAGGAATGAAGGAACAAGGACAGAGAAGTAAGCTGTTCAATGAGGCACCTCCATTCGTTCTCCTCTTTCCTTCTGCAGTTGAAAATCCTGTGGCGGGGATTGCAGCAGCCAAAGGTTGAGCAGACTCATAGTCTCACTTATCAATACAAGATACAGGACAAGACTGTGACCTTCTTTGCTAAAGGACTATCTCCTGCTGTGCTGTGACTTGATCTTTGGACCGTGAAAAGTGACATGCTGACTATTTTCAGACTTGAAAGAAAAGGCCACGCCATAAATGGACCTTTCCCAGCTTTGCTCAAGCTAAACAGACCAGTGTAGCTACTTCAGATTTGGCTGCTGTGGTTGAAGCCCAGGGCAGGACTACTGTATATGTTTCCTGTTTCTCTGATTCACCCCTGTTCTTGGTAAGTGGACCAAGAGAGAATGTACAAAACCCTCAAGAAATGGGCATCCTGTCTACTCACTATGGGAAACTGAGCCTAGATTCTATTCTCGGGCTTTGGATGTAAACATACTGCACAGTGGGCTGATCTTGGTGGTATATATGTATAATTTATTTAATAAACCTTAAACAGATTTTGCTGATGCCTTTTGTCTTTCTGTCACAGTCATTTCAAGATCCTTCCCCTACCTGGACTAACCTCTCCTTTGTGACAAAATTACTGAGTAATTGCATCTGACAGTATGTATGATATTCTATCCTAGGAGTCTCCTACCTCTCGCTATGAAGGAGAAGTTGTTTCATTATTTATAATTTCTGCGGGACCTTCTTTGGTTTTTTCATCACTCAGAGCTCAGTTTCCTTTGAGTGATCTTTTCCATTATATTGTTGTATTCATGCACATCGGTCTTTTGATTCTGGCTCAGTTCACACTGATCTTCCCACATTTCCCGGAATTCCTCACTGCACAAGACGACCCCATTACATTCATATATCCTAGTTCAGGCACTCCCCAGTCGTTGAGCACCCACTTAGTTACCAGTTCCTTGCTGCTACAGAATGCTGTTACAAATATGTATTTATGTGTGTATCTATAAACACATATACATATATGTGTCATTTCAGAACCAAGGTGAGTGGTAGATCATGGCTGTTGTTAGGAAAAGAATTTTGCAAACCTTAATGCTCTATGCAAATGAGTTATTATTTTTGGACCAAACTTTTTATTTCATAGATGTTGTGAGTTGCCAGTGGGGAAATGCCTAACACCTTTGCAGGTTGGCACCTGCTTGGCAGTTTAAAGACTTAGGAAGTTTTATTGAAACTGAAGTTAACTTGCCCAGGGTCACACAGCCATTATGTGTGAGAAACAGAACTTGGACCCAAGGTTTCTCTGACTCTGAAATTAAAATTAATTTCCCCGCTCAAGCCTTAATATGATTTTAGGAACCCCACCCCTTACAAGGACCTCAGCCTGCTCTAACACTTCCCTGATTTGAGATTACCCTTCCATTCCCACCTCAAATCCTTTCCCTTCCTCCCATGCCACTGACCTCTGGCTTCAGTAAGTGGCACAATCACTGCATAGGGTTGCTCATTATTTCTTGCTTCGCTTATTTGGAGCTTTTGAACTCAATTGTAGCCTCTCATTCTCAAATGAGATAATACATATAAATCACTTTTCAGACCTTAAAGCACTGCATACTTGTTAGCTATTACCATTCTCTCTCTGGAGGCTAAATTCTGCTCCTTCATTCTGTTTAATTTAACAGCCCAAGTCTCCTACTATGGCCAGCTAGGTGGCCCAGTGGATAGACTGCCGGGCCTGGAGTCAGACTCATCTTCCTGAGTTCAAATCTTGCCTCTGATACTTACTGGGTAGGTGACCCTGGGCAAGTCACTTAATGCTGTTTGCCTCAGTTTCCTCATCTGTAAAATGAGCTGGAGAAGGAAATGGCAAATCACTCTAGTATCTTTGCCAAGAAAACCCCAAATGGGATCACGGGCAATTAGACACAACTGGAAAAAAGACTTTAAAAACCATTAGGTGTGATGGGAAGGATCAAATGAGAAAATGTACGTAAAACACTTTGTAAATCTTCAAATGGCACATAAACGTCAGCTGCTGTGGTAATACCAAATAAGCGTAAAACAGGATCCCTCCACCTGAGGTTACATTCTAGTTGGGAGAGATAGAAATAAACAGAATAACTGAGGACCAAATAGTGTTGTATCCAGATGAATGGTGTTGACAGTAAGTGCTACAGAATTTGAGAGTTGTAGAGAAATAGGGGATTTTTATTTCTTACACCCTGGATTGCTCCCCAGACCACAGAATCAGGGGAGGAGGGGAGCTCAGTGATGGCCAGTTCCCAGCCTACATTTACAGAAGGGTCAGTGTGGTGAAGTCAGGGAGAACTCACTTTGGGGCACTGGGTGTCGGTGAAATACTGTCTTGTCTTAGGATCTCAGAATCAGACTGGGAGTTGGAAGGAAGCTTAGAGGTCCTCTAGTCCAATCCTCTCATTTTACACATGAGGAAACAGGCCCAAAGAGGGAAGGTGACTTGCCCAAGGTCATACAGGTAGTAAGAGATAGGATTTGAACTCAAGTCTACTGATTCTAAATCCAGACTGGTGAAATGTGTGTTCTCATCTTTGAGAACATGCCTCTCAGGTTCACAGAGGAGGAAGGGATCGAAGACACAATCTAGTCTATCCCCTACATGAACAAGAATCCCCTTTACAACATGTTTGACATGTGCTTGAAGACCTTCAGTCTAGTTTATCTCCCAAGGTAACCAGTCTATTTTTGGATGGCTCTGATTGTTAGGAAGCTTTTCCTTAAACCAAGACTAAATTTACCTTTTATTAGTTTCTCCCCATTGTTCCTAATTCTGCTTTCAGGGCCAAGCTAAACAAGACTAATCCTTCCGTGTGATAGCCCTTCAAATAAATATCTGAAGAGAGCTATCATATTCCACCTACATCTTCTTTAGGCTAACATTCCCTACTTCCTTCAAATGGTCTTTATGTGGCATGAGCTCAAGGCCCTTCTCCACCCTGGTTGCCTTTCTCTGGACATTCCAGCTTATCAATGCCCTTCCTCAATCATGCTACCCAGAACTTCATGAACATGATGGGCTTTGACCAGGGTAAAGTCTACTGGTACCACACTTCCCTACTCCTGGATGTTGTACCCTTCATAATGCATCTTAAGATTGTGTGAACTAGCTGCCATAGCACACCACACTGTTAACTTGTATCGAGCTTTCTGACCACTAAAGTTCCCAGATCTTTCTTAACAGAAATTGCTGTCTAGCCCCACTAGCTGTATCTTGTATTTGTAAGTTGATTTTTTTTTAACCAAAGTGTAAGAAGGCATTTATGCCCATTAAATTTCGTTTTATTCAGGCCTGTTAAGAACTGTTCATGTCTTGAATGTGTCCGCTAACATGTTGGCTCTACTTACCAGGTTTGTGTCATTTGTATATTCCATAAGCATGCCCTTCCTTGCCTTTATCTAAATCGCTGATAAATGTTAAACAGCATAAGGCTAAATGGCCACTGAGGATCTGCTTTCCAAGTTGAATCATTAACAACTACCCTTTGGGTCTAGTCATTTAACTAGTTCTGAATCAATCCACCCAATTGTATTATTATCTAAACCACATATTTTCATCTTTTCCATAAGAATAGGATGAGAACAACATCATCCTATCTTTGGAAGCTAAATTGCAAGTTCCCCAGGGACCCAGCTTCCACCTTTCACCTAAATAAGACTTAATTTTAGGAAAAATCTGGGGTCCAGCTCCAATTTTTTTTTCTTTTAGGCAATTGGGGTTAAGTGACTTGCCTAGGGTCGCATAACCAGTGTCAAGTGTTTGGTCTGAGGCCGGATTTGAACTCAGGTCCTCATGACTTCAGGGCTGGTGCTCTATCCACTGTGCCACCTAGCTGCCCCGTCACCCCCGCCCCCGTTCAAATTTTAATGTAACCATAGTAAGGGAGGGGAGGAGAAAAGGAGGGTCCTCCTAGAAAAGAAAACAAGGCACTGGGATGAGCTAGTAAATGTGCTAGGAGAGCTTTGGTTTGGTTTGGTTTTGAAATAAAAGCCCCATTGCAATGCTTGCAAAAAAAAAACCTGACCACCATTATTTTCCTTGTGCCTCCTTTTGGAAAGCAAAAGCCATACTTTGAGCTGATCAAGTAGAAGATGATGACTCCTTTGGGGGGAGTCCTGTACCTGGTATTTGAGACTACCACTGGTCTGAAAGGAGAGGCTTTCAGGCAGGGCATCCTGCGTAGCAACTTCTGGTCCACCCATTCACAAGCACAGAGATCAAGCTCCAAATCTGGAAAGAGCCTGAGTGGTCGAGGACAAATCTAGAAGATGTGAGGAAACCATGCCCTGCTTCTTTGGAAAATTCCTTTCCAAACCCCATTTCAGCATAAAACCAGGAGGACCTACGCTTCTCTAGGGCTACTGGGGTGAAGCAGTTAAGAAGCTTTACTTCAGTTATTCATGTAGATGTTTGTATGTGTGTGTGTGTGTGTGTGTGTGTGTGTGTATAATACATATACATATACATACACACAAATATACATACATACATACACACATATAAATATACATATATGTGTCTATATACATAAACACACATATGTGGATAGAATGCTGAACCTGAATTCAAATCTCACCTTGGGCCATGTATTACCTGTGTGATCCTGGGCAAGTCACTTACCCTTGCTCATCCTAAGTTTCTTCATCTGTAAAATGGGGCTAATAATAATAGCACCTGCCTCCCAGAGTTGTTGTGAATATCAAATACAGCACTTTGCAAGCTTTCAAGTGTTATGTAAATGAGAGCTATGATTTTTATTATTTTTCTTATGGCACAAGAGTATTCAATTACATTAATATCCCATAATTTGTTCAGCCATTCACCAATTGATGGATACCCACTTAGTTTCCAGTTCTTTGCCACTATAAAAAAAAGAGCTGCTATAAGGAGTTTTGTACCCATTTTGTACCTCTTTCTTTGATCTCCTTTATGTATAGGCCTAGCTGTGGTATGACTTGGTCAAAGGGCATATGTACATCGTTTAGTTATTTTTTGGGCACAATTCCAAACTGCTCACCAGAATGGCTGGAGCCATTCACAGCTTCTTCAACAGCAAATTAATGTGCCTGTTTTCTGAAAGTCCCTCCAACATTTGTGATTTTCATTTTTTGTCATCTCTGCCAATCTGATGCGATCCTCACCTTTTACAGAAAAGGAAATAGGCCTAGAGATGTTAGGTGATTTGCCTAAGGTCATACAGGTAGTAAGTGGGAGAACTGGAATTTGAACCCAACTCCTATGACTCCATGTCCAAGACTCTTTATATTGGACCACTTCATACACATAAATATGTATATGTGTACATACATGTATACACATGTGTGACTGAATACATGTTACATTAATATATGTGTGTCTTTACCAGCCTGCCTCCAGAATAGACCTGAACAAATAGATGAATCTTTTTCTGAGATACAGCTTTAAAAGGATTCTCCTCCCCTGATCCCCCCCCCTAAAAAAAAAACAAACCCAATGGCACTGACCCTTTATACGGGGGCTTTTGGATATTATGTCCACTTT